CCACCTCCTCCTCCTCCCCGCCCTCCTCCTGAGCCTTCTCATCGCGACGATGACGGGGGCGAGGACGAGCAGGACATATATGGACGATGACGAACACAGTCGGACCCAGGTCTAAGATCGAGGTCGGCTCAGAGAGTACCCTACTGATGCTCTTCGTGTTTGTTGGATGTTCCTGTACATCTAATGGGGTGGGTACTCTCGAATGCCCTTCATTATGGCTGGCGGAGGGCTCGTGTTCTTTAAGGATCATAGGTTGTCCTCGGTCCGAGTGCTGCATGGGGGTTGGGGAAAGAGACCCTCTGCTCCAACTCCCCGTCCCCCGCCTCCAGATCCCTGTAGAGTATACGAATTCCTTCCAGAAATCACCACGCACCTTTTTCTGGTTTGTAATCGGGCTTACTGATGCGTGTTCTTTTTCTCACCCCACCCACTCCCCCAACTTCCATATTTCCACTACCGTGTTCCTTTCTCTCGTCACATTGTGGGCGCGTTCACATGGTCTCTGCGCCACCGGAAACAGCAATTATTGTACAACCCGGTCGCTGAGATTCTTCATCATCCCCCTCTCACCACATTCTTCCCATCGCGTAGAATTCCCTAGAACACCATAAGCACGCTTCTGAGTTCAGTCGGTACAGGATACATTTCGTCCCCTCTCATCTCTCATCCTTCCATCCTCGAAAAAATCTTTTTTGTCTTGTCTACTACCTCTCATGACGTATTCCATATGTGATCATCTTCCACCCAGTTCTCTTCTCCGTCAGCATTGGTACCCCCTTCCTTGCATACTCCTCCCTCCCCCATTACCTACATCCTCCGCCTCCTGTCTCCTCCACTGTCATCCTCATCATGCTGTTCCTTCGTCTCCTCGTCTTCCTCCTCCTCCTCCTCCTTTAGCCCCGCTTCCCACACCTCCGCTGTCCATGCTTCTCCCGATTCTTCCGCCCTTCCCCCTCCTCCCTCGCCCCTCCTCCCCCCTCATGTTCGCTCCCACATCAGGCCACCCCCCCTGCCTCCTGCTCTGCCCCCCCCTCATCCACCCTTGTCCCTCCCCACCTCCACCTTCCAACATCCTCCACCATCCGCCCTCGGTCCTCCCCTCCCCCCACCCACCTTTCCCCCCCTTCCCCATTCCCCTTTCCGCCTTCCATGCCCCATCTCTGTCGCGCTTTCCGTTCATCCTCCCCTCTCCGCCGCCCATCATCCCCCCATCCACCTTGCTCCACCCGCACTCCCTCCTATTGCCCCTCTCTCCCTTCCTCCCTCCTCGTCCTCCCCCCTCCTCCCCTCCGCCCCCCCGCCCCTTCCCCCTCCCCCTCGCCCGCTCCCCGCCCCGGATGCCCCAGTCACCCCTTCCCCCCGCACGCGGCGCCCGGATGCGCCGCAGATCCCTCCCCCCTTCCCCCCGCTCCTCGCCCCAGCGCCCGTGGACTCCCCCCGCTCCTCCTCCTCCTCCTCCTCCTCCTCCTCCTCCTCCTCCTCCCCCTCCTCATCTCCTCTCCATGCCCTCCTCCTCCCCTCCTCCTCCTCCCTCCTCCTCCTCCCTCCTCCTCCTCCTCTCCTCCTCCTCCTCCCTCCTCCTCCGCCGCGCCCGTCGCGGGGCGCACGGCGCGCGCTTTCGCGCACGGCCTGCAGCCGGCCTGCCCCCGCCGCCACCGCAGAAAAGCAGGAGCGTGGGCGCCCGCGAGCGCTCGCGCGTTGCCCGCCGCCGCCCCCCGTCTTGCTCCCCGATCCAGCTGCCCGTGCGTGCCCCTCCCGCCTTTCCCCCCCCCCCCCCCTTGTCTTGGCATCGCTCGGACGTGTGCGTTCTCACTCGGCGGGCACCGTCGGGGAGCACCCAGGACCACTTTTTAGCAGCTAGAGGCACGCACGACACCACGAAAGAGTGCACGGGGAGTGTGGACGTCCGAGCGATGGCACGAGGCGCGCCGCCTCCTCACGATGGCTTCGCACGAGCGCGTAACTACTGCGCCCCTCCCCCCGCCCCCCCCCCCGAAGACGGCGGGGGAGCCGCCCGTCCGCGCCTGTTTTTGTTCACACACTCTGCATGGTGGCACAATTCGCTTCAACGATAATTTTCAGTTTGATTGCTCTTCCGCCAGCGCGGTTACTCCGCCGAGCCGCCGACGCCAAACGTTTCTTCACACACCAGATGTCGTGGCATCGCTCGGGCGCGTGCGTTTTGTATCGACAAGGACCAGTGAGGAGCACGTGTGTTCACCCTGCAAAGAGATACGCGTACGAACCCGAAGAATGGCACAGGGAATGGCCGCCCGATCGATGGTGGTATGTTATCCCTCGCTCTTTCTCGGTCCTTCAAAATCGTGTTGCAGCTTCAGCGTGGGCCGCATTTTCGGATCGGCGCCTTGCCCCCGTGATTCGGATGGCAATCTCCCCTCCGCGCGGTCCACTTTTCAGGATCCGAACCCTTCCTTCTTGCTGTCGCCCTCCTCCTTTCTCCGCCCTCTCCTGGTCCTCTTGCTCCTCCCGCTCCTTCCGCTCCAGCTGCAGCTATTGCTCGTCCTCGTGTTCCGCATTCCTCGTCCTCCTTTTCTTCCTGCTCATCGTCCTGCGCACAATATGTTTGGACTTCCAGTTCCGCTATGACACGCGACACGCGTTAGCGGATAGAGGGGTAGGATATCAGGCATGGCCGGAGCGCACCCAGCTTGCCTCCCGCCCACGCCCTCCATCCATCTCCCCGTTTTCGGGCCCAGTGCCAGCAAAATCGGCCCGTGGCCGAGGAGGAGGAGGAGGAGGAAGAGGAGGAGGAGGAGGAGGAAGAAGAGGAGGGGAGGAGCGTGAGGGAGCAGCAGGGGGAGGAGGGAGCAGCAGGGAGGAGGAAAAGAGCGTGAGTGAGCAGCAGGGAGGAGGATAGAAGTAGTTTCAGGTCGAGGACGGAGCAGGAGGGGGAGGAAGGAGCACGAGGAGGGGGGAGATGGAGGACGAGGCATAGGAATCTGAAGACATGGAGTGGGAGGAGGTGGAGAAGCCAGAGACTGAGGAGCGGAGGGATTCCGCCCTATCTTCCTTCATTCCTCCTTCCTCCTCCTTTTCCTCCTGTCTACAGCCAAGACGCTGAAACAAGGACCGGTTTGGGTTCGGAAGGGGCTCGCCGTTCCTCAGGTCATTCCGTGGTTGTTCTTATAGCCCGCCTCGTGCACCCAGGTTCGTTTGGTGCCATAAAAGGGGCTTCGTTCCTTATCTGGCGTTCCTGATGTCAGCAGCCCGACTGTGCCCCATCGTCTCGCCGTCTTTAACATGCTCCACCTCTCCTGCCTGCCTTCCTCTTATTTTTCTCTCCCCCTCCCCCTCCCCCCTCTTCTTCCGTAGCCCTCCTCTGACCGCCCTCCTTGTTTCCCCTCTGCCCCCAACCCCCAGCCTCGGGCATCCTCGGCACATCTGCCCCGCTCTGTCGGTTCCAGGGTATGGGTGTACTTTGCTTTGGTACTCTCGGAGCGCCTCGCGCTCCTGTTCTCCTCCCTGACCGGATTTGGTCGCAAGAGCCAGAGTGGGAGCAGGAGAGGAGGAGGAGGAGGCGGAGGCTTTTTCCGGGCAAGTTCGGGCCGAGCGCACGAGTTCTGGAGGCTCCTCTGCGCCATTCCCAACCCTTCGCCGGAACCCTTACTCGTTCGGGCCAGGTGGGGCAGGACATTCTCTCAGCAGGTCGACTGCAGTTGAGGCCCAGTCTGGAAAACCGGCGCTCTTTTATCCTACCCGGGTCATGGTGGTTACACTCAAGACATGTTCAGGAACATTTTGAGTGCGCGGTACACGTGTCTTTTTCCAACGGGGAGGTGGCGGCACCGTCGCGAGCGCTAAGCCAGGACACTCTTAGGCGAATTCGACATGGATTAGCAGATAGGCGGTCTGGATGCAGGCAGACGCATGCCGAAACAAAGTGCGAGGCCGCCCATGCTCGTAGAAAACGCCACGAAGGCCATGCAGATGAAGGGCTGGAAGAGCAGTCAGCACGGTGAAAAAGAGCAGGAGGTCGTACACAAAAATGCCCGCAGCCCAGCCGGAAGGGTGCGTTGCGGAGGCCAAGAGGCGCAGCAGCGGGCGCCCTGGGCCAATAGCAGTGAACGCGAAAGCGAGCACGGCTCGCACTGGCCGGTTGGGACCGTGCCCGTCCGAGCGGATCTCGTAGCAGCCGCAGGGGCAAAGCGTGCCGCATCGAGGCCCGACCCCAGAGGGGCAAGGCCCGAGGCAGTGGGGCGTCGGCGCCCACGTCGCTGCCGCAGCAGAGCAGACCCGCCTGGATCGAGGGAGCCTTTAATGCTCCGACAGGCGTGGGGCCTGCGCGACACACGCACACACACACACACATACAACACAACAATTCACACACACACACACACACCCACACCCACACGCGCGCGCGCGCGCGCACGCGCACGCGCACACGCGCACACGCGCACACGCGCACACGCGCACACGCGCACACGCGCACACGCACACGCACACGCAACCGCACACGCACACGCACACGCACACGCACACGCACACGCACACGCACACGCACACGCACACGCACACGCACACGCACACGCACACTCACACGCACATGCACTCGCACTCGCACACGCACACGCACACGCACACGCACACGCACACACACACACACCAATCCGCAGTGGTGTGGCCTGGGGCCCAGCTCCGACCTGGTGAAGATGACTGAACCGCGCCTCGCGTTGCGCCCGGGCGCGAAAAGGCGGGGTGGCCAAGGCCCGTCACCTTTTGGCGGAGGGCGGGGGGGGGAAATGAGAAGGAGAAGGCCTTCTCAGAAGGCGGCGGGGCTTCTCAGAAGCCCTCGCGCCTTCTGAGAAGTCTTCTGTGTCTTCGGGGAAGGCTCAGAAAACTTCGTGCTTCCGAGCCTTCTGCGAAGGCCCGCCCCCTCTCGCTTCCCCCCCGGCGCTCGCCGCCAAACCTCAGGACCGCGAGCGGCGAGCTGTTCCGACGCTGCCGCCCCCGCAGGCGCCCCCGCCGGCCGCTGCCGCAGGTGTCCGCGCCCGCCCACCCCAGCGGCGCGCATGCGGGCCCTTCCCGGGGGGACGCCTGCGGTCCGCCCAGGCACCGTCCTCCTCCTCCTCCTCCTCCTCCTCCTCCTTTTCCTCCTCCTTCTCTTTCTCCTCCTCCTCCTCCTCCTCCTCGTCCTCCTCCCCCTCCTCCTCTTCTCCTCCTCCTCATCCTCATCCTCTTGTCTCCTCCTTTCGCCTGCACTTCGGAGCGGCCCGTCGCCAGAGCGACCTTTGGTGCGGGCCCACGGGGTCCCCCGGCCGCTGAGTGCGATGCGGCAGCAGCGGCCTGTGCGCTTCGGTGTGCCCCCCTCCGCGGCCCATTGCGCCAAGCGACACTCCTGCCTAGGGTTAAGTCGGGCATGTCCCTCTACAGGAGGAATATCCAAAAATACTAAAAACATGGTCTGGGGATGATGTTTCGACTATTGATTTGGCTATTTCTGAGCATTTGCTTACTATTTTTGAATTATTTGCCCAAAATCCGCCGGTGGGAGGACATGCCCGATCTGAGCCTAGGGCCACTCACGTGTAGCCGTTGCTTGAAGGCGGATTCTCCGACAGCCCCCAGCAGCACCTTCTGCGGGCTGCGGGGCAGTCCAGAAGCCCTCGGGGCCCCCAATATAGTGGGGGCTCTTTCCTGCGCCCCCCGGCTGCCCCTCTCCCCCCCGCGTTCTGTTGCCCGCGCCCCGTTCAGCTTCAGCCGAGGGCGGAGCGCACTCGGCGCCGCCGAGACGCGTACCCAGCAGCTGGCGAACGCACAACACTCACGCACACACACACACACACCCACACCCACACCCACACCCACACCCACACCCACACCTACACCCACACACACACACACCCACACCCACCCACACCCACACCCATACCCACACCCACACCCACACCTACACCCACACGCCCACACGCGCACGCGCACGCGCACGCGCACGCGCGCACGCGCACGCGCACGCGCACACACACATGCGCACACACACACACACACACACACACACGCGCGCACGCGCACGCGCACGCGCACGCGCACGCGCACGCGCACGCGCACGCGCACGCACAACACACACACCCACACACCACACCACACGCACACGCGCACGCGCACGCGCGCACGCGCACGCGCACGCGCACGCGCACGCGCACACACACACGCGCACACACACGCACACACACCACACACACGACACGCGCACGCGCACGCGCACGCACACACACACACACACACCACACACACACACACACACACACACACACACACACACACACACACACACACACACACACACACACACACACACACACACACACACACACACACACACACACACACACACACACACACACACACACACACACACGCGCGCACACACACGCGCACACACACACGCGCACGCGCACGCGCACACACACATACACACGCACACACACACCACACACCACACACACACACCACACACGCGCGCGCGCACGCATGCATGCACGAACGCACGCACGCGCACACGCACACACACAAACACACACACACACGCACAGACACACACACACACACGCACACACACACACCCACACGCACACGCACGCACACACACACCCACACGCACACGCACACGCACACGCACGTGCACACGCACACGCACACGCAACTTTGCACGCACACACAAACGCACACGCACACGCACGCACATGCACATGCACACGCACACACACACATATCCACACACACACACAAACACACACGCAAACACACACACACACGCACACGCACCCGCACTCCACACACAACACACACACACACGCGCGCATGCGCGCGCACATACACATATACACACAAACGCACGTGCCCATCGGGTGAACGGAGGGTGCCATGGGTGCGTGTTGTCGGATGGGGGTCCCCGCTCGAGCGGGAGCCCCCACAGGGGTCCGACAACCCGCGCCCATATCCATAGCCAGTCCTTCTCCCTCCGACCTCCTATGGGCATGGGTGTGTGATGTTCGTTCGTCAGCAACGGGTGCAGTAGAGTGGCATCAGAGCGCCACTTCCGCGCGGGATGGTGCGGGAAAGTGGCAGGAGAGCGCCACTTTTCCTGCATCGGCCACAGTCCCCGTCTAGTGCAAGTGGCGCGAAGATGATCGCTCTCGCGCATCGCGGCTTGGGTCGGAGAGGCACCCTTGTCCAAGGTGGCCTCGCGAGGACTCGAAGATAACCTCGCATCGTGGGGCTCGATGTGCAAAGTTGGGTGACCCGGGTACCTGGGCCCCCGACGTCATGATTTTTCACAACGTGGACCTCCAGAGATCTCTGCCCATTCCTCTTGGCCCTGAGTGGATTTTTGACGGCTCCGGGGCCAGCGACCTCGCTGAATATCTTCCGCTCGGTCACGCGGTCAAACAGTTCCCCGCCCTGCACTGGCCAGAGCCAGTGTCGCCAGGGGGAGACGATGGGCGAAGGGGTCAGAGAGGAGGGGGAGGAGAATGAGGAGGAGAATGAGGAGGAGGAGGAGGAGGAGGAGGAGGAGACGATGACGACGAAAGGGCCCAAGGAGGCGGAAAATAGTCCGTCGCGATTTGTTTGAAGACAGGAGGGGCTTTGGGTTACCCCGCAGGCCATCGCTTGGCGTCGCTCGGACGTGTGCATCTGTTCTCGGCGAGGCCAGCGCCAGAACATCCGGACCATCGAGACGCATCCTGGATCACCCTGCGAACTAAAAGTCACACCGGAGAAGCACCCGAATCAGTGGATGGTTTGGGAACTCATGATATGGATGTTGAGATCGATTGTGAGATCGATAATGAGACCGAGAGTGCGATCGATGGTGAGGACGATAGTAAGGTCGATCGTGAGGCCAATCGTGAAGTCGATTCAGTGAGGTTGATCGTGAGATCGATCGCTCGTGCGATCTATAGTGGGTTCGATTGTGAGATCAATAGAGAGAGGTGGGTAGTGGGTAGTGAGATCGATGGTGAAACCGATCGATAATGAGATCGACCAAGAACCTGGAAACCTGGGCACCCCGCCGCCCACCGAAATCGGTCCGGAACCGACAACCGGGAACCCGGGAACCGGGAACCGGGAACACATGAACTTGGCCGCCCACCGAAATCGGCCCGGCATTTTTGCCAAATCTTCCAATCTTCGCGAGGGCTCTTTCAGTGCAAGCACTGGTTGGGAGAACAAACGTGCGAAACCGACAAATGCACGGGCACTGGACGTCCCAGCGATGGCAAGATCATGTACCAGCTTAAAACATATCCATACTCATCCCTGCGCTTGGCATCGACATAACCTCGGTGCCGACCTGAAGGATTCCCTCAGTTTCCGAGGGCACATCCCTGAGATTGCCATCGCCTTGGGCCTGCCGACCTTAGAGAGACAGATACGTTCGAGACTGGTTGATCATGGCGGCCCAGACGCCCGCAGGCGCCCCCCCGCCCCCTCCGCCGCCCCGGGCCGCATGGGGTGGGGCCGTGCGCGGGGCGGCTACGGCAGAGGCGCCTCCGGGGGGCCCCCGCCGCCGCCCGTCGCGGTCGCCGCCGCCGCCGCCGTCATCTCCGCCCGCCGCCCCTCGCCGCCGGCCGCCGCCGCCGCCGCCGCCGCCCCCGCCGCCGCCGCCGCCGCCGCCGCCGTCGTCGTCGTCGTCGTCGTCGTCGTCGTCGTCGTCGTCGTCGTCGTCGTCGCGGCCGCCCGTCGTGGCCGCCGCCGCCGTCGCCGCTGTGGTCGCCGCTTTCGCCGCCCATCGTGAGCACCGCCGCCGTCGCCGTTCGTCGGTTCTCGATCCTCGACCCTGCCCCCCCCCGCCGACCACTCTTCTTCTTCCTCCTCCTCCTCCGATGCTGCCGCCGAGGCGTCTTGCGGAGCCTTTTCTTTGGGCGGAACCGAGGACACGGGCGCGAAGACGCTCTCATCCTCGGACTGACGGCGTGCAGGTGATTGCAGAGCTACGGGATCAGCCGTGGCTGGCAGCCCCTGTCATGCGTGCCGCCTCTCAGCTGGACCTGGCAGGAGCATCTTTGCTTATGCCTGTCGTTTCGGCTTTGCGTTACGCACGATAGACTACGGGGGCGTTTCTTTTCGGCTTTGGCGTTTCGAGCCCGCCGTTTTCCAGCCACCAAGTTTTCACCTGTCTGTCATAGTTTTGCTTGGTGTAGCACACCGTGAAAAAATCCTCCTCCTCCTCCTCCTCCTCCTCCTCCTCCTCCTCCTCCTCCTCCTCCTCCTCCTCCTCCCCCTCGCCCTTCTTCTCCTCCTTCTCCTCCTGCTTCTCCTCCTCCTCCTCCTCCTCGACCCTGCCCCAGCGTTTTCGCCCGGGCCTCGCTTCCTGGGGCCACCACTCACCGGGCGCGTCCCACTATTCGCAGAGTGTTTGCTTGCAAACGTCTGGACCACAAATGCTTGCCTGCGATGCAGTGGATCGCTGATCCCTCGCGGCGGAGCCAGGCCATTTGCGAGTGGGTACTTTGCGAGTAGTGGAGCGCGTTGCTCTAACCTCAGATCGACCCGGCCCGAAGAGTGCCACGGACAGAGGGCCCGTGGCGGCCAAGAGATAGGTCATAACCGGGACCATTCAGGAGGGATCTTGCACAGACACATGTGGGAAGTGGGGGGGGGAAACAAACATCCAGAACATATTGAAAAAGATTGGGAATCATGGGGTTTGTGTGTATTTATGGCGAAGGCCTTACGGCCGGTGCCGCCGACCCTGAAGGGAGACGTCGACGACGACGGCGGCGGTGGCGGCGGCGACGACGACGACGCGGACGTGGGCCCGAGTCCTCAGGGATGCTTCTTGGGGTCTCTTGGGAAGGCTCTCGGGGGCCTCCGAGGGGGGAACTTTGGAGTCTATTGGAAGCCTCTTGGGGGCCTAGTGGGGACCTTTTCGGGTGTCCTTGGGGCCTCTTGTGGGCTTGTTGGGGCATCTTGGGAAACTCCTGGAAGCTTCTCGGGGCCGAGGGCTCGAAACATCCGTTCGGGTTCCCCGTCAAGGCACGCTCGTCTTGGGGCCTCCTGGGCCGTCTTGGAGGCGTTTGGGCTGTCTTGGGGTTCTCTTGGGATGTTTTGGGGTGCTCTTGGAAGCCCCTTGGGCCGTGTTAGGGCGACCTCGAGGGCCTCTTCGGCCATCTGGGAGCGGCGGGAAGCGGAAAAAACGAGAACGCCAAACTTTGTCAAAAACATAAGGATCATCAATGATTTGTGCCTCTTGGGGCCCTCCAGGAGGCCTTTTGGGGCGTCTTGGAGGTCTCCTGGGCAGTCTGGGAGCGTGACGGCGTTTTGGACAGATCGTTTGGCGATTGGGGGTCCTCTTGGACCGTCTCGGGGTCCTCTTGGGGCACTCTTGGCTTGTTTCGGTATTCTTTGCAGCCCCGGGACCCCCAGAGGGGGGTTGCGTATCTGACACCCCCCCCTGGGACCCTCCCCCGGGACCCTCTCCCGCCCCCGACGGGGGAGGGATCAAAGGAAAGAGGCTTCCCTTCGATTCGATTGCGACATTGCGAGGTTTTTCTCTCGCTGACTGGCTTGAGGAGGGTGCAGGCAAGGGGGACGACGCAGACGACGACTGACGGAGACGACGACTCGAACAGACAAACCGCTCGCACACGCCGACAGGGTCGGCGGATTTAATCGTTTTGCTCGTTTCGCCAGCCCATATTGTGCCACCGCAGGCATTTGCCTGCGCGTTCGTGGCCTCTTGGGTGCCGTTTGGGGGCCTCTCGGGGCTTCTGTTTGGGCCTCCAAGGGGCCTCCAGGGGGCCTCCTGGCTCTCTTGGGAGCCTCTGGGAGCCTCTGGGGGTGGAAGACTCGAATTGGTGGTTCGTGTTCCCGCTCTTGGGCCCCTCTTGGGGCCCTCTTGGGCGATCATGGGCGCATCTGGGGCCGTTTGGGGGCCCTCTTGGACCGTCCAGGGGCCCTCTTGGGGGCCTCTCGGGCCGTTTTGTGGCGGTCTTTGGAGCCTCTGGGGCCATCTTGGAGCGTCGGGAACCCGAAAACGCGAGAACGATAAAAACAAAGGAAGAACATAATGAACGTCAATGCTTGTGAAGGCCTTGTGGCCGGTGCCGCCGACTCTGCAGGGGGGCCCGAGGCATCCGGGAGACAAGGAATCGAAGGGGACAGCTTCCCTCAGGGAGGGTGGTTTCCCCACGGGGGGAGGGTCGCAACCCCCACGACATCCCCCCTGCCCCCTTCCTGGGACCCCCCCCTTGCCCTCCCGCGACCGCCCCCCCCCCCCCCGCGGGGAATCGGCTTCCCTTCGACTCGATTGCGACGTTGCTCGGATTCTCTTTGGCTGGGACGTTTGACGAGGAGGGCCCGCGGAAGGGGACGGGGGAGCGGTGACGGCGACAAGGACGACGACGGCGACGACGACGACCACGATGACGGCGTCGACGACGACGGCGGCGTCGACGACAACGACGACGCCCGCAACTTGGTTTGCAAAACCCATTCGGCGGCGATTGTGGTGAGTGCTTGGCTTTGGCTGGCGCATCCCTGCGGCCGCGCTAGCCCGCGCATGCTCGCGCGCACAGCGGCCAGCTAGTTTGGCGTGGCCGACGCGGCCGCGGTGGCGCTGACCGCAGGGCACTCCCCTAGCGGGCACTTCAGTGCAAGTCGGTGACTTGGGCGGGCGCGCTACCATGGCGACGCCGACAACGGTATATGAGAGTAGCGATGAAAGTGGCGATGGTGGCGAGGACGACGGCAAGGCAGATGACAGCGCCGATGTCGACCACGCCCGCCGATAACGATGACGATGTTTTCGCGTCGGCAAGGGGTCTATAGCGATTGCGACATGCGCGCGCGAGAGGCCCGCTCGGTAGCATATTATGGCATGTTGAAAAGCCAATGGTTTCTTAAGGATTCGCAAAAGCGCGTTCGCAGTTTTCTTTGAAAGCCCTGGCTGCGAGACTGAACTTTACGTATTGTAGTGGCCTCCGGCCACTGCCGCCGATCCGGGGCGATCCCGCTGCTGTCCCTCCAGAACCCCTCCCCCGCCCCCGGGCACCCCTTTCCCCCGAGCGCCGAAACGCGTCAGCCCACGTCAGCCCGCGTCAGCCCCCCCTCCCCTCCTTCCCCCCCCCCTCCCCCCGAGCACTCCCCCTTCCCCTCCCGAGCGCCCCCCCTCCCCAAGCACCGAAACGCGTCAGCTCACGTCAGCCCACGTCAGCCCGCGTCGACCCCTCCCCCCCCTCGCCAGACCGAAGCCCCTCCCCCCCACCCACCCCCAGCACCTCCCCCCCCCCGAGCACCGAAACGCGTCCCCCCTCCCCTCGCCAGAGCGAAGCCCCCCCCCCCCTCCCCGATGGGCTTCATCACTGCTGGTTCTACTGTGGCTCTGGGATCACCAATCTGCCGTCGGCGATGTCGGACAGCAGACGTATCGTGTCCTCCCTGCTGATGGGGAGGGGCTCCTCGAGGACCTCCTTGGGCTCTATCCCAAGACGCTCACACAGTAAAGTATTAGTTGATACTAGGATTCGTTTGAATTGTCGGAGCTGTTGGGTGGCAGGCTTGTGGGAGTCATTTCCTTTCTTCTTGCCCATCGCACCGAACGGGCCTTGAGCCGAAACAGTTCCGGACAGAAACTGTCCTATGGCTGGGGGCGGCATTGCTACGCACCCCCAGCACCAGAGGTGGCATGGCTACACACCTCTGGTCGTGCCTGCGCGGAGGTGGCATTGCTACACGCCTCCGCGCCTGCACGATGACACTGGCCGCAGTGCCCTAAACGACTAAATTATTATGTTCCCGGACAGCTCTCTGGGAACATATTGTTTGGCTGGCCGTACCGGTCTATTGCACACCAGAAAGAGGGACTCTTGTTTTATGCCGTGCCAGGCTATGCCTCCCGCACCGCAGAACATGGCAACGAAAATGTAACGAATTTCGGCTCTGCCGAGCCTGTTCTTCACGCTTCTCCTTTCCCGCGGCGGCGGTGTCAAATCGACCGCCGCAAGGGAGCGAAGCCTCTGGCCTTGGAGGAACGGGTGAAGCAGGGACCCCAAACAGTTCAAAAGGAAAATCCCCAAAAAGTTCCTGGTGGCACCCACGCGTGCTCATTTGAATGCCAAGCATCAGGTCGATGCTCAAGAAACTTGCGCGGGAGAAACTTGCGGGAGGTGGTGGTCAATCAGGCTCAATGCACGGCGAACTTGCCCCATCATGGGCACCGAGAACGTCTTGGTCAATCCGTCGGCCTTCTGCTCAGCCGACGCCACGTGCCCCAAAACGAGCAGCCCAGCCTCAATCCTGGCCCTCAGAGCTGCAGCACGGTTCGCCAACCACCTCGTCCGCCACGACCCCTGGCCCCTAAAAATGTGGAGCGAGGCCTGACTGTCTCCAAACATCTCCGGGCTCTCCGCCTTGATGAACATGCTGCTGAGCACGGCTTCAACGCCTTCCAGAACCACGCCTTCCAGGCAAGTCCCTCCACCTCCGCCTCTGCTGTGGATCTCGCTGGCTGCGGTTGTTTGCACGACCTCCAGTCCACTAGACG